TCCGGTTGAGCGCGCGCACTAAGGGAACACGGCGCTCTCAACGTTGCTCTCTGGGGTATGCCGGAGTAAATCAGCTACTGTCAGGATGGATGTGGGATGGATATGACGGTGCCGGGCGAAATGATTGGCGTACCGGCTCGCGGGGGACCAATCGTAACCGCGGTAATGGATCATCGATTTTTCCGTGACCTCCGGGGTAAACGGTCCCGACGGGGGTGGCTCCGCGGCCTCGTCTCTGGAATTACTCGGGCTTTCCGAGCGAGCGACGGCGCGACGGTGGTGGCGTCTTGACCGCCCGCCGCAGCCACCGCCACCGCCGCCGATTCACCGAACGGGCCAACAAATAAATTAGTCAAAGCGGGGATTTAAGGCGTTCTCGGTTTCCATTAGACAAGTCCCGTCGTGTCTGTTGAGAGAGAGCGGCCTGGTACGGTATTAGGTACGCCTGTTCGATTTCCTCGGTGCCATTTGTCTAGGAGGGAAGCCAAGTTGAAAGAAGCTAATTTCGAGCCTTAGATAGATGCCGCGGGAAACGCGGATATTTTCTCCGTGTTCTCTGTGAATATTTATAAATATGTTATCGCGGCACGTAAGTTTTTCTTCCTTTGAGTCGGGTTTGCCAGCGGATTATGTCTAATTATATTTAGGAAATTTAGATGAAAGAAGTGAAGTCTTTATGCTGCTATGAGCGTCAGTTGCAATCGAGAAGCACTTATAAATCTGAATTCCTCTTGATATAAAAATACTATTTTTACCGAGAATTCTAAGTAACAAGAAAAAAAATTAATAAGAGCATAAATAAGCATAACCGCAGTTGGTCTTGACGTAATAGCTGACGTTGTATGCAACTGCGTAAATGAGTTTGATAAATGTATGAATATAAATATAACATGTGAAAATTCCAATAACTCATTAACATAAATGAATCATCTTCTCGTTGCTCGCGTATAAAAGCCCGATTCTCTCCTCTTTGCTAACTAACTATATTTACCTTCCGGCTAGTACTGACTGAATGTTCTGCAGCTTGAGATACAAGAGAGATAAAAATAGAAGAAAAAAAGCCACGTGATGAAATAATGATCATTTTATTTAATGTGTTGCCTATTACTTCATTTATCATTAATATCGTAATACAAAGATTTTTATTTTCATTAATTTTTTTGACTAATGAACTAAATTTATTAATTTTTAATAACAATGAAGACGTGAAAGATATATATATAGAATATCCATTACATTTAAAATGTAATAGATGTATGTCAAGAAATCTGTGACTATAAGTTACATTTTTTAAATTGATTTGCCAGTATGTACGAATAATTAGAAAAATGTTGGAGAAAAGTCGCTACCATATTACACTTGATT